TACAGAAAGGGTGTTGACTCTGTACCACTCCCCATGGAGGGCTCTTTCCTCAGAAGCAAGCATAAATTGCCACAAATGCATTTTTATACAGAAAGTAAAATTACAACTCAGCAAAGAAGGTCTTCCCCTTCCCCTCCTCACCACCACAACTGCAGAGGACTCTTCACTTCACAGGGTAGAAGAGGAACCCCTGAATCACCTGCACATGCAAACATCAAATGGGACTACTCTAACTACATGAATCTGTGCGAGTGCGGTGAAGTGCAGACTATGGAGCACCTGCTCATTTGCCGATCCTTGATGAGACCCATATGAAGGGGGACCTCGCTGCAGCAATGGAAAGAGCCATCACTTATGCACGATTGTGGGAAAACATCTAGTTTATGACAAGGACACGAGAAGATGGAGATAAGAAGACTGATGGAGCCCAAAACCACATTGACCTTTCATGTAGGTCCATCATAGTGCATGAGTCTCTGGTCTACCAAGATTCCCAAGTCCTTTTCTGTAGAGCTGCCATCCAGCTAGGTGTCCCTCATTTTGTATTTGTGTTTTTTAATTTTCCTCCTGAGGTGCAGCACCTTGCATTTGTCCACAGTGAAAGACCAAGCTGGACTGTGAGGAACTACAGAAGGATCTGGCATCATTGAGCAAATGGGCAACTAAATGGTAGAGGAAATTCAATGAAGACAAATGTAAAGTAATGCACATGGGCAAAAATAACCAAAACTAGACCTACACTAGGATGGGCTCTACATCAGCTGTTACCACACAGAAAAGAGACCTGGGAGTCCCTGTGGACACCCGCTCAGTGCTAAGCAGCCATCAAAAAGACAAACAACGTGTTAGGATTTATGAGGAAGAGAACTGTAAACAAAACAGATGGCACTATGATGCCCATTTATAAGTCCATGGTGTGTCCACACTTTGAATACATTGCCCAGGTCTGGTTCCCACACTTCCAAAAGGATCTAGAAGAAGTAGAGAAGGCCCAGAGAAGGGGAACAAGGATGATGAGTGGTATGGAGGGGTTTTCCTGTGAGGAGAGACTGAAGAAGCCAGGCCTGGTCAGTTTAGAGTACAGACACTTGAGGGAGGATAGGAGAAGGGTGTACAAAATGCTAAACACAAAGAGGAAGTCAATAGGGATTTATTATTATGTACTATCTCTCACAATACAAGAACTAGGGGTCACAACATGAAACTAGTACACAGTAAGTTTAAAACTAACACCAGGCTGTTCGTTTTCCCCTAGTGTGTCATTAAAGTGTGGAAATCATGGCCACCAGATGCAGTGGAAGCTGAGAGTGTGGCCAGATTCACAAGGGATTGGACATGTGCTTGGAGGAAAGGGGCATCGATGGCTATGGAGCAGGGAGTGAGGGGCACAGGCTCTGCATCAGCCCTGCCTGGACCCTCAGTGCTGGAGGCTGCAAGGGGGAGAGGAACAGGGGAAAACCCTGGTGAGACCTGGTCACTCTCCCTTCAGCCTCCGCTGTCTGTTGCCCTGTGACACAGAAGCCTGGGCAAGATGGACATGTGGTCTGACACCATAAATGGCAACCCTTATGTTCTTACGTTCACGTGTAGAGCAAACAATTATTTCTCTTGCAGCATATAGTTAACTTGTGGGATTCACTGCCACAAGATGCCACAGAGGCTGACAGTCTACTCACCTTCACAAGAGGATTAGACGCATTTGGGCAGGACAGGCCCAGTGGTGGGTCTGAAATGTGGTAGTTAGGCCTGCAGCCTCCATATGAGGACTTTCTGGGCCTCTGAACACTGTAAGCTGGAAGGGGAGAGGGACAAGAGATGTGCCTTGCTCTTTCCTTTGGCATCAGCTCTGTGCCCCGTGAGATGGAGGATGCAGGCTGAGCTGGTACGTCCCATCTCCTGTTCTGATTCACCTCATGCTGCGCAGCGTTGGAACGTGCTTGCTCATTGACCACAAGATGAACATGAGCCTGCAATGAGATGCTGCGGCTAGTAAAGCGACCAAAACGCTGGCTTGCCCATAGATGCTTCTCAAGCAAATCCTGGGACGTCATTCTCCCCTTGTACTTGGCCTTGGTGAGGCCGCAGCTGGAGTACTGCATCCAGTTTTGGGCTCCACAATTCAAGAAGGATGTGGAGAAGCTTGAGAGGGTTCAGAGAAGAGCCACGTGCATGATCAGAGGTCAGGAAAACAGACTTTACGATGACAGGCTGAGAGCCATGGGGCTCTTTAGCCTGGAAAAGTGCAGGCTCAGGGGTGAGCTGATGGCCACCTATAAGTTTATCAGGGGTGACCACCAGGATGTGGGGGAATGTTTGTTCACCAGAGCGCCCCAAGGGATGACGAGGTCGACTGGTCATAAACTCCTGCAAGACCGTTTCAGGCTGGACATAAGGAAGAATTTCTTTACTGTCCGAGCCCCCAAGGTCTGGAACAGCCTTCCACCTTAAAGAGTAAATTGGACGCTTATCTTGCTGGGATCCTATGACCACTTTGCTTCTCCGCTATCCTCCCTGATGGCACCTCAAGTCATCTCCTGGCTCTGCCGGCTCACTGCCTGGCTTCATGCTTCTAGTGCATCTAAAACTCTTCTTATTGACTTCAGCATCTTGTGGCAAGGTCTAGAACAGCCTGCCATCGGAGGCGGTTCAAGCACCTACACTGAACGCCTTCCAGAGTAAATTGGATGCTTGTCTTGTTGGGATCGTATGAACCCAGCTGACTTGCTGCCCTTCGGGCAGGAAGCTGGACTCAATGATCTTCTGACGTCCCTTCCAGCCCAAATGTCTATGAAATCTATGAGATCTATGAATGCACAGGACAACAGAGAATTGGAGATGCACTGTTTACCAGGGCACCCCTAAGAGTAACTTGGACTAATAACTAAGAAATTTTTCACAGTAAGGGTGGCCAGAATCTGGAATGGGCTGCCGAAAGAGGTGGTACTGTCACCTAACTTGGAGGTCTTCAAGAGGAGGCTAGATAGGCACCTGACTGGGGTCATCTGACCTTGGTCCTTTCCCTGCCTGGTGCAGGGGGTCGGACATGATGATCCTTCGGGGTCCCCTCTGACTCTACAATCTATGAATCTATGCATTAACAGGGTGACGAGCTGCGAAACGGAGGGCTCAGGTCTCTGCACTGCTGAAGTTGGCAGACCCAGTTACGCACAAGCAGCCTTCAGCTGGCGATCTTTCCCTGGCTGCCTTGGTAGAAACCTGCCCAAGGAGGAGCTGGCCGGGTCAGTATTCCCAGCATCTGAGGTGGCTGCTCTTCCGGCTCAGTTGGGCTCAGCTTTGGGGAGGAGTGGCTGATGGCCTTTGCACACCATCTGAACCTGGCTACCCCACCACCCCTGAATCATAGAGCCGCTGCTGGCAGGGACCTCTGGACACCTTAGTCCTAACACTACACGACGCCCCTGCTAAACAGCTACAAGGCCTGTTGCCCAAAGGACCAGAGGCCCTAAAACTGCCCCAGGGAGAGCAGGGGGCTGGGGCTGGCTGTGTCCCGTTACTGCAGGACTGGTAGAAAAGGGGTTACCAGTCAAGTTTCTCCTCTTTGGCTTCTTCCCTCCCCCCCTGCGGTTCTTGCTGCCCTGCCTCTGCTCCCTTGTAGCGTAGCCACCAGGGCGGGCCCAGGCGAGTACACGGGTGCACCTGCGTCGCCCTTTGACCCCTGCTCCTCCCAAATCTTAAAACCAGCTGCCTGGCAGTGGCAGCAGCACTTCTAGTCAGGCAGTGCTGAGGGAGTCGCTTGACTTGGCGGCTCATTTGAATTTTTACCTGTTCCCTTCTACACTCTCCACTCCACAGATGTTAACGACCCACTCTTCTCTTTAAGGGTGCCATCCTGCTGTCTGCTGGCTGGTCCTGGTCATGAAGCCCCTATTTCACAGCCCCGCAGGTTGCTTGTAACTCATTCCAATAAAGTGATATTTGTTTTAGCTTCAATCTTAAACTAAATCACGCAGCCCTATTACTGAAGTTTATTTTTAACTAGAGAAACGTGTATTGTTTTATATGTGATGAGGCATCTCACCATCTGCACCCCTTTCCAAAATTCTGGATCTGCCCAGGCTCAAACACACTTCCCCACGTGCCAGGATGCTTGTGCTGTGGTGCTGGGACGGTGCCATGATGCAGTACAAGGAGAGCAGGGCTGTGCACTGTTGCCTGTGCCTGCGACCTGGGGTGTCAGTTGTGGAGGGGTCTCTGCCAGCCAAATGTGGAGCAGAGAGTGGCCCTCAGAGCTGCCAGCACCTCACTGGTGGAGGCGCTTGCATACCAGGAGCTCTGGGACCCTGCAGCCAGAACCGGCCTTAGGGGAAATGGTGCCTTGGGTGAACTTGTGCTTTGGTGCCTCCCCACCCCCGCCCGGCACACCCCTGAGCCCCAGCACCATCCTCCCCAAGTCAAGAGTGCTGCAGGCAGGCAGGGGCGCAAGGGCACAGCCTGGCAGGGAGGCAGAGTGGCACGGCGGGACAGGCAGGCAGCTGCTGCCCATATCACCTGGTCTGGCTCCTGGGCAGCAGCTGGAGGGGGTGGGCTGGGCACCGCTCCTCCCACCTGGGGTGGGGATCAGCTGGAGTGGGGGAGCACTGCTGCAAGTGCGGGCTGCTCACGTGTGTGCGCATTCAAGTTTGTGTGTTTAGTGCTCCCCTGACCACAGCGCCCACCCATAAGGCTGGCTCTGCCTGCAGCAATGCTGCCCTCAGCCTTGCAAATGCTCCCTTGGGGGGCTAGCTCCCAAACAGACACGAGGCCTTGCACGGTATGTGCACCAAGGGCAAGCCTGGGCTGGAGGAAGAGGCCTCGGGCTCCCACAGCTGCTTGTTGGGGACCAGCAGGCTCAGGGACTTCCCCTCCCCAGCACCTCTGCATCCCTGGAGGGCGGCTGAGCCAAGGATGCTGCGCAGAGTCCCAGAGGTGCTGCCCGGCAGGAAGCCCTCCCGTGGCCGAGCACAGAGCCTGTCGGGCCGCATGATGGGGGAGGCAGAGGGGAGCGCAGGGCTTGGCGGGTGGCATGACCTGGGCTGTGATTAGTGGGTCCAAGAGTCTGATGGAGAACTCTGCACCCTCTGGCTCCTGCTCTGGGCACGCTTGGCTCACGTGCTTGCTCTCGGGAGCTCCCCCTGCGACAGTGTCCAGTGCTCCCTTCCCGGGCCTGCCTGCACTGCCTCCTGCTAAAGGCTCCCCTGCCTGTGGTGGGCATCTCTCTGCTGAGGGCTGTCCAAGCCCACAGTGCCTGCATCCTGCTCCCGGCTCTGACACTCTGGGACGCAGTGGCCCGGGGGGCTCCCAGGAACGCCCGCTGCCTGCTCCTCCGTCTGTCTGCCAGGGCTGGCGGCAGCACGTTCTCCCACGTGCCTGCTGCTCTTGTCACAGGCTTCTGCCCCCAGCCATCCCCGATGCCAGCAGTGCCCTGACCGAGCCTTCGGCACGGTCCTGTCCCAGCCACGGGGCCACTGCTGCCACATGCCGGCACCACTGCATTGGTGCAGGGAAAGGCCAGAGGTGCTGGCGGGGGAGTGAGATCCCTGCCAGGTGCTGGAAGGCTGCAGCGGAGCTGGGCGCAGTCTAGGCCTGAGCCTGAGCCCCAGCCCCAGCCCCAGCCCTCCTCTGCCCAGAGGCCCGTCCTCCCCCTCCACAGGGCATTGTAGCCACACCTGCCCTCCTCATGGGTCAGCCCAACCCTGGGCCAGTTCAGACTGGAGAGGAGGTGCATTGGGGTAAGGAGCTGACCCTGGCACGCAGCAGTTGCCCTTGCTCGGCAGCTCCCCAGGTGTCTGGGCCTTGCTGCTGGGGAGATGGGTGCAATGGCTCTGCATGGCATGATCCGGGGCAGGGTTAGATGCCCTGGGGGGTCCGGCTAGGCCCACGTCCCTGCAGCTCCCACACCCTCTGTGGCCTTGGTGCCCAAGCCGCTGGCCCGGCATCATGGGTGTGTGGTCATGCGGTTCCTGGTCTGAGGCCTCCCCCGGGCTGAAGCTCGGCTGAGTCGTGGCCAAATGCTGCGGCTTCCCCGGCAGT